GTTGAAGGGCCAGTCTAAGTAGCCTGCGGAAGGGGCTGGGATTCCCAGGAAGTTGGCCATTTCCCACTCTTTGACCTTTTGTGGCTAGTCCTGGGACGGCTAAGGTGCCCGTGGGCGTGTTGTTTACCACGTTAATATATTACAATGAGCGTCTAATGAGGCTCAAGATCTACTAGAAGTTAAATCTCCCACCATCTTGAGCCTCAAGGCCTACTGGGGGTTGAATCTTTCACCATTTTGATGTTAATTGCTGTAGCATTCCTTGAATGGCTGTGCTCTGCCCCCACTCCACCCTGTCTCACTAGAGAGGAACAGAATTTCAGAGCTGTTTGGGATTTTAGAGATTATCTAGCCCAACTCCTAAATTTTATAGATGAGGAAACAGGCTTAAGTGAACCAACTGGACTTTCCCAAGGTCACAAGCTAGTAAGCGGGAGGACGGAAGCCTGAGCTCCAGCTCTGGCTCAGGGCTGGGCCCTTTCTCTCCACTCTAGGCCTCAAGAATGCTTACTCCACGCTACTGTTTACCTGGCTACCACGCCTGCACTAGAAACCCAGGATCAGTGGAGAACCTGACACCCTTTCAGCAGCGGCCAAGCCTGCTCGGGCCATCCATACAAGAGGGCTGGTCTCCGACGTGGCCCTGCCCTCAGTCAACCTCTGGTTTGCGGAGTAGGCGGGGTGAGGGCTGAGTTCTGTCCCACGACCCTGAGCATAGTCCTGGGAACAAAAAAGCCTGCCCCTCCCCTCCGCGCCGCAGCCCGCACGTGCTGCGCCTCGTGCACCGCCCTAGCCCCGCCCCCGCCCCGCCCCCCATTGGCTGCTCTGAGCCACCCCACTCCCCATCCCGGAGCGACTAGGCTCTGCTGCGGCTGCACGTGACACAAGGGGGGTCGGCCGCGCGGCCCCAGTGGGCTCTCTTATAGGTTCCTCCCGCCAGCCGGGCCCCTCCCAGCCCCGCCTCCCTTCAGTCGCTCGTCTGGAAGGTGGGGAGATTGGGATACAAGGGAGGGGAGAGCAGTTATGGTGGTCCGAGAGGAGGGTCGGAGTAATGAAGAAGGAGCCGAGGGCGAAACCACGGGTAGAGGGAAACGGGCTTTCGCGGAAAAGGGCCTCTGACCCAGAGTCCAGCAGACGCCAATCAGGTGACACGGAGGCGGACGGGGCGGGGCCTCCCGCCTTGCTCCTCACCTGGCCCCGCACGTGTCTCGTTTACCCTGGCGGCCTAACCAATCGCGACCCGGAAGGCTGCGCCTGCCCCTCTCGCATAGCGGGCCAATCCTAAACTGCAATCCGGGGAAGCTGGCTTGGCCTAATGAATAATTAATATTCCAGAGCCTGTCCGCAGGCGGGGTAAGGATGGAGGGAGGTGGGGGAGCCGCTGGGCGCCTGCGCAGTAGCTGCCCGTGTCGGCAGCTGCGGCGGGTCGCACGGCTCAGTCCCATC